TAGGCCTATTTAATCATTTTTGAGGATGTTGCCGGTGACGGGGACCCGATTGCGGCACAGTTTCGGAAATGTCTCGACCAGACCTAGCGATGGGGCGAATAAAAATTTTCAGTCGGTCGGTCCCCTTTTTTGAAGATTGAGTGGATTTTGTTGAATTTAGGCCTATTTTATCGTTTTGAGGATGTTGCCGGTGACGGGGACCCGATTGCGGCACAGTTTCGGAAATGTCTCGACCAGACCTACCGATGAGGCGAATAAAAATTTTTAGTCGGTCGGTCCCCTTTTTTGAAGATTGAGTAGGTTTGCTCGGAAACAGTGAGAAATTTGTTCCCCTTTTTTGTAGATAAAGTAGGTTTTCTCGGAAACGGTGAGGAATTTTCAACTTTTGGGATTTTTCCCAATTTTCCCATAAAATTTGGAATTGAATGGAAAAAACCGCAAGTCTCTACGACCACTCCTTCACCCCAAACATTTCTATGAGTGAGTCAGTGAGTGAGTGAGTGAGTCAGTCGGATTGGGGCTATATAGGTTCTTGATGATGATTGCCCAATTGCCGGTGGCGGGGTCCCGATTACGGCACAGTTTCGGAAATGCCTCGACCAGACCTACCGATGGGGCGAATAAAAATTTTTAGTCGGTCAGTCCCCTTTTTTGAAGATTGAGTGGATTTTGTTGAATTTAGGCCTATTTAATCGTTTTTGAGGATGTTGCCGGTGACGGGGACCCGATTGCGGCACAGTTTCTGAAATGTCTCGACTAGACCTACCGATGGGGCTAAATAAAAATTTATAGTCGGTCGGTACCCTTTTTTGAAGGTTAAGTGGATTTTGTTAAATTTAGGCTTATTTAATCGTTTTTGAGGATGTTGCCGGTGACAGGAACCCGATTGCGGCACAGTTTCGGAAATGTCTCGACCAGACCTACCGATGGGGCGAATAAAAATTTTTAGTCGGTCGGTCCCCTTTTTTGAAGATTGAGTGGATTTTGTAGAATTTAGGCCCATTTAACCGTTTTTGAGGATGTTGCCGGTGACGGGGACCCGATTGCGGCACAGTTTCGGAAATGTCTCGACCAGACCTACCGATGGGGCGAATAAAAATTTTTAGTCGGTCGGTCCCCTTTTTTGAAGATTGAGTGGATTTTATTGAATTTAGGCCTATTTAATCGTTTTTTGAGGATGTTGCCAGTGACGGAGGCCCGATTGCGGCACAGTTTCTGAAATGTCTCGACCAGACCTACCGATGGGGCGAATAAAAATTTTTAGTCGGTCGGTCCCCTTTTTTGAAGATTGAGTGGATTTTGTTGAATTTAGGCCTATTTAATCGTTTTTGAGGATGTTGCCGGTGACGGGGACCCGATTGCGGCACAGTATCGGAAATGTCTCGACCAGACCTACCGATGGGGCGAATAAAAATTTTTAGTCGGTCGGTCCCCATTTTTGAAGATTGAGTAGGTTTGCTCGGAAACGGTGAGAAATTTGTTCCCCTTTTTTGAAGATAAAGTAAGTTTTCTCGGAAACGGTGAGGAATTTTCAACTTTTGGGATTTTTCCCAATTTTCCCATAAAATTTGGAATTGAATGGAAAAAACCGCAAGTCTCTACGACCACTCCTTCACCCCAAACATTTCTATGATTGAGTGAGTGAGTGAGTGAGTGAGTCAGTCAGTCGGATTGGGGCTAAATAGGTTCTTGATGAGTGAGTGAGTGAATGAGTCAGTCAGTCGGATTGGGGCTATATAGGTTCTTGATTACGGCACAGTTTCGGAAATGTCTCGACCAGACCTACCGATAGGGCGAATAAAAATTTTTAGTCGGTCGGTCCCCTTTTTTGAAGATTGAGTGGATTTTGTTGAATTTAGGCTTATTTCATCGTTTTTGAGGATGTTGCCGGTGACGGGGACCCGATTGCGGCACAGTTTCGGAAATGTCTCGACCAGACCTACCGATAGGGCGAATAAAAATTTTTAGTCGGTCGGTCCCCTTTTTTGAAGATTGAGTGGATTTTGTTGAATTTAGGCCTATTTCATCGTTTTTGAGGATGTTGCCGGTGACGGGGAACCGATTGCGGCACAGTTTCGGAAATGTCTCGACCAGACCTACCGATGGGGCGAATAAAAATTTTTAGTCGGTCGGTCCCCTTTTTTGAAGATTGAGTGGATTTTGTTGAATTTAGGCTTATTTATTCGTTTTTTGAGGATGTTGCCAGTGACGGAGACCGGATTGCGGCACAGATTCGGAAATATCTCGACCAGACCTACCGATGGGGCGAATAAAAATTTTTAGTCGGTCGGTCCCCTTTTTTGAAGATTGAGTAGGTTTGCTCGGAAACGGTGAGAAATTTGTTCCCCTTTTTTGAAGATAAAGTAAGTTTTCTCGGAAACGGTGAGGAATTTTCAACTTTTGGGATTTTTCCCAATTTTCCCATAAAATTTGGAATTGAATGGAAAAAACCGCAAGTCTCTACGACCACTCCTTCACCCCAAACATTTCTATGAGTGAGTGAGTGAGTGAGTGAGTGAGTGAGTCAGTCAGTCGGATTGGGGCTATATAGGTTCTTGATATAGGTAATATACAGTGATAATAAATGGTAATATAGGGGTAATAACGAGGCAAAATTGTGGTAATATACAAGCAATATATAGTAATATATTGGTAATATACAGGTAATATAGCGACCGCGTATTTATGAAAATAATGTTGACCCCTCTGCACAAATTTGACAGAGAATAGGGTTCTTTTTGGACGACTGATCGGTAATCATCATGGTTGTTTGACATCCTAAAGTCGAATTTGTATCAAAAAGACCCAAAACTCCCATGTCACATCGTGTAACATTCTGATGTTGCAAACATTAATGCGATCAAACAGAGTCGTATCAAAATCTGAGAGCAGGTTTGGAATCCTCAGGATATTTGCCTGTAAAGATGCTGTTAAGATGGAGTACATCTCCACACTTTCTAATGGCAACGGTCCCTCAATGTTTCTGGTACGTGAGCCGCGTAAATGTTTGTTAAAAACTCGAAATCGACTGAAATTTGCCGCCGAGTATCACGATTAAATATGAATATTTAAAAAAGGTAAAAGTACTGAGAATTCCAAAATATTGTTTCGGCTTTGTGATACGACGATCTGTTTGCCCACATTAACGTTTGCAAGTCAGTGATTTTGAGCAAATCGCGACATGCGAGACCTGGGACCTGGATCAGGGCCACATTTCGCAACAAAGTGGCCTTTAGGCCGCTAAACAACCATGGTGATTACTGATCAGCCGTCGAAGAAGTACCCTACTCCCTGTCAAATTTTGTGCTGATTCCAAAAACGAAAGCAGTTTTGCTTAGTTTGGCAGATATTATTGTAAAACAAAATGTCCGCACGCCCGTGCTGAAAGAGCAGTTGCCACCCGCTGCTTTCTGATAACCTTGTCATTGTTTGCCAGTGAGGAAAACGTCATCCACAAGAAACTTTTACAGTGCGGGCTCATTTGGCGGGCCCTTGCATTGACGTAAGTCTCCACGAGATCGACAAACATACGATGCGTGTTCGCTTAACCCATTTGATAAACACACCTGTGCTACCTTCTTTCGTGACATTAGAAACTCGACACACTCAAAACGTCTTTCGCAGAAATTTCCCATAATACGAAGAAAATGGCGCCAGCAAGATGAGGGCGTAGTTTTTCTTGATATTAGGATGGTTTTTCTTGGTGTTGGTGCTATGAAGTTTTTCCTGGGTTTCTTCGTATCTCAGGTTGATAATACAGAAAAGACCCGTATTGTGCACTGTGAAAACATTACAAACTATTGCTTCGTATAATACTTGCGCTGAATTCACTGTCACATAGTTTCAAATTTCGTTGCAAGACACGTAGAGTGCACTTTCTGGAGTTTTTTCTACGACCCTTCATGCCAGACTATTGCAATCCTGGAACACTGTCACTAGTGCGGACGTCGGAAACCTGTCTGAAAACCAGATCAAAATTCGCGCACCTCTGAAACGTTTAATTTTTTTTCGGACATCCTGAAGAACTCAGACCATCAATATCAGCATAAGATTTCAGGATATCAGCTTTCAGAGGTGCTCGAAGTTTGACTAGGATTTCAGATATGTTTCTGACGTTCTGACAAGATTTACACGAGTGCTGCACTCCAGCATCGGATTTCTGATATGAATGTTTAACACCCGAAATGGTGCCATAATCTTCCACTTCATTACACCCTTGAGGTCTTGCTAAAAACAGAATGCCTGGATGAGTTTTGGACACTTGCCTTTCAGGAAACAACAGGTGTGTATTCAATTCGTGATGAATCGTGCCTGCACTCGAAGCCGAACTGTCGCTTCGTGCTGCGCGGCTCGTAAGATCCTAGCGGTTTTGCGCAATCATGTGACGTTCGTTTGAGTGCCGTGCAACATCACTGCTATTCTACGAATTTGATGGCATATTCGTTGGATTGTGAATTGTGTCACGTTCGTATGAACAAGATGCCACATTGGTTTGTATGTTGATCAACGTTCAAACCAATGATTACATCGCATCCGGACGAACGTGACAACTTCAGTATCTGACGTCATCCTCGACAAACTCAAGAAGCATGCTTCAGGTTGAAGCAGTCCTACAAGTACACTCCACTTGGAGCCAACCTGGCATGCACACTCGACGCTGGAGCGCGCTTGCCACGTACAGTAGACTTAGTATACGCCGCGTTGGAGCATGCTTGTCAAGTACACGCCAGGTGGCGTGTACTTACCTCCAAGTACACTGTTGTTGTGCTTTGCATGCAAAAGATACACGGAAAAGACGGTACCTGGTTTTCCCAGGGAACCTATGGTAGACACAGGCGATTTCCGAGAAGTTCCTGGGAAATCCTAGAGACTTTTTTTACCGTGTAGGGGACTTCGGCAACAGCTTGCAAAACTGTTTTGATTGGGCACACCTTTTCTTGTTCGTATGACACAGTCCAAGTGTGCAAACATGAGTAAACCAGACATCGGCACCCGACGCGAAATCAAGTCTAACCACTCGTACCGTTATAAATGGTGCGAGTGCTCTCAGGACAGACACTTGCAGAGGCAACATGCTCAGGCAAACAGCTGTATTCATTTTGATCGTGGCTGCGGCCTCTCAGGTGAGAAACCCATCGCCCCGGCAAAACCATATCATGGGATTCTCAGGAATATCGTTTCATTCCCAGGAGATGGTTTAACCGCGTGACAGGACGTTCTTCGGGGAAGAGACTGCATGACGGACTTTGAATACTCTCAAGAACTCCAGATATGGAACGGAGTTACGGCGGTGTTTGATTTTCTCTCTCGCACTGAGAATGAAAAAGTCATGATCAATACCCAATTTTGGGCAAGGTATACGTTATCACCCAAATTTCGGCGAGGATTGTTTCCTCGCCCAAATTTGGGGCGCCTTTATCACCCAAATTTTGGCGAGGAATGCTTCCTCGCCCAAATTTGGGTGAGGAAGGGTGTATCAGCTATCTATATGGCTCCATAGTATTATGACCCAAATTTGGATAAGGAAACCTTCCTCACCCAAATTGGGCGAGGAAACCTTCCTCACCCAAATTTGGGAGTTAAAGAATTCCTCGCCCAAAATTTTAGTCATGATCATGACTCTTTCATTCTCAGTGCGGGCACACATTGTAATTGATAGTTAAATTTCTTGCACTCCTTTCTTTCCAGGCTGTGAGCGGAGCCAACAATGGGTTGAGAGTCTCTGGTAAGCAGTCCATATCTACTATCATATAATTTACTTTAATTTTATCATGAATGTTTGAGAGCCAACTGAACATCAAGTGTCAACATATGCGCTGATGACTATGCTTGTAAACGTTTAAACGTGCAGCAACATATCATGGTAAAAACGGTAAAAACGCTTTCCCAGGAAGCCAATGATAGAGGCATGGGCAATTTCCAGGGAATTCCTGAAAAAAAAAAATGAAACCGTTATTACAGTGTACAAACGTGACGAAATTCACAATCTACGGTATATGATGGCACTGGCACACTCCTCATTGACGTCACCGTGTAGTCCGTAAACGAGGAGCAAACAGTTTCGACAAGATTTGTACACCGTTCTTTCAAATTCACGTTATTTCACGCTATCTCATTGTTATTTCAACGTTATTTCGCGTTATTTTACGTTATTTCGCGATATTTCACCGATATTTCACCGTCATTTCAACGTTATTTCACCGTATTTCACGTTATTTCAAGGGAAATGTACACCAAAAATTCAAGTTGTTTGCCCTTCGTCGCTAACGCGTCATCAAGTCTAGACGATACTTCACTCTATTCATTTTGATTTCTGATCAACAATCTGAATGTGTACATCTCGATGTCCAAATAGGTATTCGTAAATTCTCTCCCATTTGAAATACCGTGTCCAAAAATCTGTGGAAATAAATCTCTGGAAAAACTGATAGTTAACGAGAAAACCTCCCTTCACTCTCAATGACTCTTTGCAAATCCACGAATATTCATAAAAAGTAATTGAAAATTTTTCGATAATATACGAAAAATCTTCGTGAGTTTCCAAAGGAACCTTCGGTTGGGCACCTTTTTATTCTCGACAAGTACCGCTCCGCAGATTCCAAACCGAATTCTGACGATGTGCAATGCCCTGTTGTGGCCTCGCAGGAACGCAGATCCTCGACGCGCAGGGCAATGCCTTCGTCATGAGGGGCATCAACTACGCCCACTCCTGGTTCAAGGACGACGCCGAGAAGTCCATCCCGGCCATCGCGCGCACGGGGGTCAACGTGGTGCGCATCGTGCTGTCCAACGGGGAGACGTACTACAAGGACGACGCCGCCACCGTGCAGCGCCTGCTGGACCTGTGCCGCCAGAACCACCTGGTCGCCATGCTGGAGGTGGGCCAATGTTCAAAGCACAACGAGGTCACCGAAAGGTTTCGTGTTCTGCTCTTATTTGACGGAAGTGACATCATTCGCTAGGGAATGGTGTCTCCTTCGTTTGCTTATGGTTTCACATTCGTTTTGAATGTTGAACCATGTTCAAACATGTTTAGTCCTCCTACACTGCAAGGGACAAAAAGTATGAATAGCACAACGAAAGTGCAACAAACTGCACTTGACATGCTGGTTACGTTGCGCTTTATAAGAACAACTGTTGTGCTTTGTGCAATCCATTCCTGAAAAATTAATTAATTGCCAGGAACTCTTGTAGGTTTGTTGAGGTTTCTCGAGCAGTGAAAGGAATCGGCTCTTTCACATTTATTTTTAATGGATCATTTCACTCTCATTCCAGGGACGTGACATCACGTTTAAACGAACGTGACAACATGTCACGTTCGTTTGAGCATTGTGTCACATTCGTTTGGGTGTGAATTGGCCAAAAAATCAGCTTGTTCACGTTCAAACGAACGTGACACAAAACGAACGTGACATTTTGTCACGTTCGTTTCAACGTGATGTCACGTTCCTGGAATGAGAGTGTTTGGCCATTTTTCAAATTGTGAAGTTCCAGTCTCTTTTTTTATTTCCCACCCACGACATATGTGTAGTCACATTTTGTTTGCCTTGTCGAAACGAGTCCACTTTAGTTGAGTAAAGTACTTCTGGACAACTTAGAAAATTAGCAGAAACCCATTGGAAGTAACCAGGGCTCCTTGGATTTCAAGCCAACGCCTTGAAAGCGTTGCTGTACACGTCAAGAAGGACGTGAGACCTTCAAGTGCAGTGGATATAGCTTGAATGAAGTGTGCACCTACGCTTTATTTTTTCCCGCGTCCACCAGGTGCACGACGCCACGGGCTCCGACGACGTGTCTGCGCTGAACCGCGCCGCCGACTACTGGATCAGCCTCGCCGACACACTGCAGGGACTGGAGGACCGCGTCATCATCAACGTCGCCAACGAGTGGCACGGCTCCTCTGGAAAGGTAACTTGGGAAACGATTTTGGAGAAAAATTGCTATGGCAAGTTCGTCTGCCATTATATTAGACAGCTGGAAACTCTCTTGGTCAGCTCTGCCTTTGTTTACCAGATTAACGTAATTGTTCGAAAAGGACTTTGTCGCAAGCCTTACGATGTGCTTGATCTGATCTCTGGTCGTGGGCCTGAAAAAATGAGGGTTAGTCGGGTTAATAGGAGGTTCTTAGGCATGAAAGACTCTGGGACCGACATGGAATGGTATCGGGGGGTTTAAAGTGCCTTTTACAAAAAAAAATGGCGGTGGCTGTAATGTGAAGTAGAGAATTGTGCAAATTTAGTGCATTGAAAATTTTCGTTCGGTTTAGACGGCTTTCCTCCTAGCAAGTGGTTTATGGGAAAAAATACAATCGAATGTATTTTTAAATCGGGGACTAGCATAAGAAAGTGTGGGGCTTACGTTTTGATATTAACTTCTTGAGTGCGAAAATTAAGTTTAATTGGAGGCATTGGAAATCGCTCTCTTCCTCTCCTAACGTGTCGCTGGTCGGTGTGCAGGCCGAGGAGTGGGCTTCCGCCTACCGCTCCGTGCTGCCCCGGCTCCGCAGCGCCGGCCTGAAGCACCTCATCGTGGTGGACGCCGCAGGCTGGGGCCAGGACGCCGCCGTCATCGCCCAGAAGGGCCGCTCCGTCTTCGAGGTGAGCAGTGACCCGTCGCTGTGGAAAATTGCTGTCACTTAACGACCAAGAGGAAATAATGACGTTTTCATCACTTTCAAATACTGACGTTTTCCTCACTTTCAACTGATGACATTTTCATCACTTTCATGTGATGATATTTTCACCACTTTAGATGCTCGCATTTCCACAACTTTGCAGCTACAGCATTTTCGAAATTGTGGCAATTTTATTACAAATTATTGACGACGCCACAAAATTTGTAATAATTTCATCGCAAAGTAATATATATTTCATTACGAATTGAAATTTTCATCAACCGCATTCGCTTGACAATTCTCATCAACATGACATATTCTTGCAAGGAAAACTTGCGTTGAAATCGACATCAGACAATAGCCGAAATTTTGCTCAGACTCCACTGAGAATGAATTGGTCACCACCATCGCCCTTAAAATGGGTGATGCAACTTCGTTGCCCAAATTTTGGTAACGAAAAATTCATCACCCGAAATTTGGTAACAGGCGTTTGGTCGCCCAAATTTGGGTAACGCCGTCGGCGACGCCGTGAGGTTCCCGATGACGTCCCTCCGGGGCCACCACGATGACCGGAGGCCTCAACGCCCCATGGGGTCATCGTGGTGGCCCCGGAAGAGCGTCATCGGGGACCTCACGGCGTCGCCGACAACGTTACCCAAATTTGGGCGACGGTTTTATGACTGCCCAAAATTTGGTCACCGCGGGCTCGTCACCCAAATTTGGGCAACGGTGCGTGCGTGACCCAATGAAAGGGCGATGGTGGTGACTCTTTCATTCTCAGTGTCCTAAGACAGTTGATGGCGAGTCTGACTCAGAAGGGACCACGTGAATTCATCAGTCCTTCATTTCAGGCGGATCCCGACCGCAACACCATCTTCTCCATCCACATGTACGAGGTGGCCGGCAAGGACGAGGCCACTGTCAAGCAGCACATTGACAACAGCCTGGCCATCGGCGTGCCGCTCATCATCGGGGAGTTCAGCGACGCCCAGACAGGCAAGCCCGTCGACTACAAGACCATCATGTCGTACTGCAACGAGCGCTCTGTTGGGTGGCTCGCTTGGTGAGTTACGAAGCACACACTAAAAAGATAGAAGCATAAAACAAGAGTCCTTTTGCGCATTTAACATTGAGGCATTTTTTATCGGCATCAATTTTTAAAGGCCTTTGGCAAGGCTCTTATTTTAAGCCCTTATACCTTCTGGAAGGGTTTAAAGGGCATTGGAAAAGTTAAAGCCCCATAAAATGGTAAAAGTTTTGAGCCTTTTGACTTCAACAGTGCACCTTAGCTTGATGATTTATGCCAATGATTACTTGTGAGTAAGGTTACTCTGCAGGTTCACGTATTAAGAGACCTGCGAAAACGCTACTTGGATCAGTTCACCAAAAGCTCTCAAAACACGACTGTGATTGGATACCTTTTCTTGAGTGTTGTTTACTTGTGAAGAGATGAAATAGCATTAAACTAAGTGGTCAGGCATTTTCACAACCAATAGTTCATATCCGAATTTGACGTCACTTAGGCCTAGACATATCAGTTAACTCAGTGGCAGTATCGGGCGGTAATTTCTTATTTCCCCTAATTCTGGTGTGTATCTCAGGCTCGTACCGATTATATCTTTAGTAACGTTATGACGTTAGGGTGCAATGAGTTACCGTTATTTATATGCAGCTTACAAACGAAATCTTATCAAAGGTTTACAAACAAAGTGTCTGCAGAGGATGCGAGAGTGCCATTTACCTTTTTTCACCTTCTGGAGTGAGAATGCGGAAACTCCTCTGATTTCCTGAAAATGGGGCTCATCATTTACATGCAATTGCAGGTCCTGGTACGGCAACAACGCCGACACCGCCAACATGGACCTCGCCACCGGCCCTGCCGGCGAGCTGACAAAGCTGGGCAAGGAGATCGTGAGCGGGACCCACGGTATCCGCCTCACCGCCTCGCCAGTCAGCATCAGCTGGTAGTGGAAGTCCTCTATGCAGTTCCTCCGTCCGTCTCACATCATCCCGAAGAAATGACAGGCAAAGACCTATTCCAAGATCGGTCTCATGTCATGGTATTTATTAGCATGGAGGATACGGAGCTGATCAATTTTATGTCGAATAATAACGATATTAAAATACGCTAGAAGCACATTTTTATATCCCCAAACATGCTCCAGAGCTCATCTACAGACACTAATTTACCCTTGATGTGCACAGAAAAAACTGTACGAGAAGAATCGCTTCGTAACGCGAATAAGAAGATGGCATTGTAAAATCAACGAAGAAATGCTTCGTATGATAAAGGATAATACGGAAGTTTTTTTTCGTTGGTGTCCCGGAATCCCTGAGTCGCCGTTAGGTTGGCTCTGCCCTGCACTGCGCTCCCCGCCCGCGGCCGGTGGACCTTACCCTTCACTTGCAATCCAGCAGCCCTCGTGTTATCATTCTTTCTGAATCCCTTGCTACACTCGAGCAATCTATTTTTATTGTGTGTGAGACAAGAGCCACTGACACGGCAAACAAGTATACGACATTTTCATTCAACAATGGCTTCATTTATTCGTGTAGTTACAAAGTATATGCTTCGTAGGCTTTTTTGAACGTCATGTCACCTCCCCTCTTATAGATGATTTATTGTAATGCAAAATTTTAAACGGTAAGGGAGAGTGGGGCGATTCGTTACAGGGGCGATTCGTAACAAACGCGTAATCAAAGTGGAGGGAGCACAGGAAAATCTGAGTATGGCCCCTCTTTCGCTTCAAGTGGAGGGTCCTTGCATAATCAAAGCGGATGTGATCGGTGCTCAGGTATAGTTTGGGAGGGAGTCTGACATATAGGGTACACCGAAAACAGGCAAATCTTAGATTTTGAATTGTAGGAAGTTTCTGTCTGAGGCTCCCCAGGTATGAATCACCATCGAAGTACCGTTGAGGCCTTGAAGCGTAACCCCTTTACAATGTAACCACGTGGCATAAGTTGCCTTGACTTTGTCCAGTGATGGTTAGGGACGTACTTCTTGCGTAACAGGCATTTTGGGTGATTCGTAACAGACCCGTAAGAATGTAAGTAGTTTATGCAATTAAATGTTTGAAATATTTCTCGAATCATCTGCTGCCTTATTCCAATACATTTACACAGCACAAAATGCTTTTTAAAGCCAGTTATTCTAATCTATCCTCCGACATTGAAAAAAGTGAGGTTAGGGTTGACATAGCCGATCAGTTAATGCTGAGGCGGTCAAGGCAGTTTGTAATGTAGATTTTAAGGCGTCTGCAGGACGCTCAAGGGCCCGGATTTTTGCAGCCAAAAGTCGGTCTGTTGTGTGTCGGTTTCCTATGCTGCAGTGCACTGTGCGTCTGTGGTTGGGATTTTCACCGAGTACTATACGACCCTAGAGTTTGGCATTTTACTCCTCTCCAAGATGAGGTTCCATACGTCTGAGGGGAAAGCTTTGGTCAGGAATTCCCATTTATATGGCGTTGGCTGTGCCCAACTCGCAAACCAAAAAGTAAAGCCCCCCCCCCCCCCCGAGATGATGCAGCCACACTGTGAAAATTTGAGTCATCACTTGACGACAATTTCAAGGCTAATTTTCCTTACAAGGATGTCATCAAATCAATTAATGATATTGTTGTCACGCCCATGCAATATGTATGGGAGCAGGAGCTTTGATGAAAATGTAATCAATTTGAGAGGAGATGGTCATTATTTCAAAGTGATCAAAATGTCATCCACGTTTTTGTCTTAAAGTGACAAAACAGTGCAGCCGCACACCGGTGTGTTTGGGCTACCATTTGCCTTCTTTTCTGGCAACCACTACCACATATCCTTAGTTGCCAACGCGAGCATGACGCAAGCGATATTCCTCTGTAAATTTTTCTCCACGGCTGAATCTAATTCAAAATGTCTTTGCCCCTGTTGGTAGGCAAAAAGTTCTACTTTGCCCCCCTCCTAGGCCGCCTCTGGATCCGCCACTGCCACAGCTGTTGAGTAACTGCCCTAGTATGCAGGATGGGACGCAGCCAGCCGCACATCTGTCGTGTGTTTGGGCTACTTTTTGCCTACTTTTCTGGCAACCACTTCCACATATCCTCAGCCTCAGTTGCAGACGCAAGCGGCTTCCCTCCGTAAATTTTTAACCAAGGCTCTAGTTAGAGTCTAATTCAAAATCCTCGTCTCGAAGACCATAACTTTTAATAACAGCTTTGATTTCCAGAGCATAGGCCTACTTGTAGAGCGGTTACACTTTACTTAAAGTGGGTATTTGGTTACTTGCAGTAATTGAAAAAGATGCCCACTTCAATGAGGAGCTTATCGTTCAGCTTGATTTTGAATTCGACTTAGCCTTGGAGAAAATTTTACAGAGGAAAACCGCTTGCGTCATGCTCGCGTCGGCAACTGAGGATTTGTGGTAGTGGTTGCCAGAAAAGTACGCAATCAGTAGCCCAAACACACAGGTGTGCGGCTGTCTGCATCACCTCCTGCATACAAGGCAGTTGCTCAACAGCTGTGGAAAGAAGTTGCTGAGTACACTGTGGCAAAAATGTATGGAAAACTCTGTTAATTTTTTTGCCAGGATTCTCCGTAGCCTTCTTATCAATATTCTCCGTAGGCTCTTGCAGTATTCTCCGTAGGGCCGTACAGTATTCTCCGTAGGACCGCACAATCTTCTCCGTAGGACCTGGAAGACTGTACAGTCCTACGGAGATCACTGTAAGGTCAAGGTCCTACGGAGAATACTGTGCGGTCCTACGGAGAATACTGAAAGAGCCTATGGAGAATATTGACAATGGGGCTACGGAGAATTACCACAAGCTGTTTACAGAATTTTCCGTAGCTTTTTGCCACAGTGTAGGCAACAGCCCGTCGCTCACCAGTGTGTTTGGGATACTTTTTGCCTAGGATTAGGGCAAGATAAACCGAATGATATAGTCAAAATTTACATTCGCCATGTTTCAAATCCGAGAATTCGAGCGTAAAGTAACTCGACCTATCAAGGAGTGGCCTCAGATATCGCTCGCTGCCTGTGCATGGAGCAGCACAGTGGGCGGAAAGACCACTTTTGACGGGAAAAAGTCATTACAACTGAATTACTTGTCCGAAAAACATCATTCATCCGTATTCTATGTTTTTAGGGTCGCTGATTCTAATCTGATCATATTTCGAACTTTTCAGGGGCGGATCCGGAGATATAAGGGGGGTAGATTTTAATTTTGGAGCAATCCGCGCTAAAACTCCGTACTCTGAGTTTTGGGGGTCGCTGATTCCAAATCTGGCCATGTCTTGAATTTTTCAGGGGCAGATCCAGTGATACAAGGGGGGTAAATTTTATTTTTCGAGCATACCGGGTCAAAAGGTCCCATATCAGTTTTCAAGGGTCACTGATCCTAAATCTAGCCATGTTTCGAACTTTGCAGGGGCAGATTCAGTGATTCAAGGTGGGTGACTTTAATTTTTTAAGGTTTAAGGGGGTTATCATCATAATTCTGATTCTAAATCTGGCCATTTTTCAATTTTTCTATGGACGGATAGTATTAATTTACTGTATAATTTACTAAATCAACGCAGCGTAGGCCCCACGGTGAAACCGATGTCTGGAAATTTCCAGATATTTTCTCCCATTTCCAGACATTGTCTGGAAATGGCCGTTTTTTTCAGATATTGTCTGGAAATGTCTACTTTTTCCAGATAATATCTGGAAATGGTCAAATCCCAGATATATATCTGAAAAAAAAAACGGCATTTCCAGATAATATCTGGAAATTTCCCAGATAATGTCTGGAAACAAAGGCCTTGACGCCGAGGTCCACGGATTTGCGACCTGGGGGTCCCCGATGGTAGCCTCGAGGTCCCCAGGACACGGGGAGTCCAACGCCGAGGTCACCGACGCTCTAGGACAAGGGTTCCGGAGATACGAGGACGTACCACAAGGAGTCCGTCAAAGCAACTTTTTAGTTGGAGGCCAAAATGGTCATCGGCCTCTGGCTGCGTTCCACTTGGGTGTCCGGGACTTTTGACTTCAGCATCGTGTTAAGGTAGTGCTAGACTACCAGGAACCCGTCAGCGGTCGTCGTCGGGCCTCCGGTGCGCCCAGGATGCCGACGAACGTGGGTGCTGTGCCGCCACACGGTTCAACACCGTTGTCGCTAGCACCCAGGTGGTCCCCGATGGTGTCCTTGAGGTCCCCAGGACACGGAGAGTCCAACGCCGAGGTCGCCGACACTCTAGGACAAGCGGTTCCGGAGATACGAGGACGTACCACAAGGAGTCCGTCAAAGCAACTTTTTAGTTGGAGGCCAAAATCATCATCGGCCTCTGGCTGCGTTCCACTTTGGTGTCCGGGACTTTTGATTTCAGCATCGTGTTAAGGTAGTGCTAGACTACCAGAAACCCGTCAGGGGTCGCCGTCGGACCACCGGTGAGCCCAGGATGCTGACGAACGTGACGCACGCCGGAGCGCCGTGGCGTGCCGGGTGCCTGAACGATCGTCGCCGCGGCCGCTGCCGCCGGGTCCTCTGTCGCAACCGCGAGCTTGGACGACGCGGGCCGACGCCGTTGGCACCGACGCCGCCGACGTGTCCGTCAACGCCACCACGAGCTAAGTCGGCCGTTAGTGTGCTCAAACGGCCGCTTCGGCCTCTGGCTGCGTTCCACTTGGGTGTCCAGGACTTTTGACTTGAGCTCTGCGTTGGGGTGCTCCCGGGCTACCCGGGCCGCGGCGGCGGCGACGATCGTTCGGTCTAGACCACACCAAACGTGGCCAAACGTGGTCTAGACCGCACCATACGTCGTCAAACGTGGTCTAGACCACACCAACTGATGTGGTCAAAATGGCATCCATCTGACCACACCAGTGGTGCGGTCTGGACCACGTTTGGTTTTTCAGTGCATCGAAGTACCGTTGAGGCCTTGAAGCGTAACCCCTTTACAATGTAACCACGTGGCATAAGTTGCCTTGACTTTGTCCAGTGATGGTTAGGGACGTACTTCTTGCGTAACAGGCATTTTGGGTGATTCGTAACAGACCCGTAAGAATGTAAGTAGTTTATGCAATTAAATGTTTGAAATATTTCTCGAATCATCTGCTGCCTTATTCCAATACATTTACACAGCACAAAATGCTTTTTAAAGCCAGTTATTCTAATCTATCC